CCCTAACCCTAACCCTAACCCTAACCCTAACCCTAACCCTAACCCTAACCTAAAAACCCTAATTGCGCTTTTGTGGGCATGGTTTTGTCGGCGCGCTTCAGTGGGCGCGCTTTCAACGTCGCCGTTTTGTTGCGACGGTTTTGTCGGCGCGCATTTGTCGGGCGCACATTTGACAGGTCACAGCCAATAAGACAGTATAATTACTTAAGATTCCATCCAGATGTTTTTTTAATTAAAAGGAAAAAAATGAAACAATGAAAATAAATGTATCCTAGAAACCTATGAATATTTAAGTCTTCAATCTATTCCTTAGGCTATTTCAATGACATCTTTCCAAACAATTATGTTGTAGTCTCTGCTTTTTAGTGAAGAGATAGCAATGGAGGAAAACATGTGGCACTGTGTCTATCCAAGTCAACTATTTTTATGGTTCCTTTTATTTTTTTTACAAAAGACAGAGGTGAATATTTCTTAAAATAATTCCTCCTCGTGTCTATCTAATCTTCTATTTCCCCCATAAAACCCTGCAGGGTATATTTATGCAGTATAGAGAAATCTTAATGTTTAACCTATGGGACTACAAGTTCTATCATTCATAATCATTTGTTGCTGCTGATTGAGGCTGCTGGTGCAGCAGGATCTGAATGCCCGTAGCTTCACTACGCTTTAATGTGAATAGAATTTTATCCACTTTTGTTTTCAATACAACGGGAGAGAAGAAGTCAGAAATTGTCTAAGACAATTAAGATTTTGTTTGGGGGTGGGGGGAGCTGTGAAAATCTATCTGCTCTGCAAATCTCTCCAGTTCTGATTGTATGGAGTGAGAGGGAATCACACAATAATATTCACTATTCCAATGCACATTGCTCAATTAGCATCATACTATGCAGAGGTGTGTTTCACATAATTTTACCACCAGTTCACTGTGCACCAAAACTGTGAACATGTCTATTTGCTTCGTGAGCACTTGTGTCTTCCACGCATGTGCTTTGCTCCTGCGCGTGGCTTGCACACATGTGCACAGCTTAGAAAAGGTGGCTAAATAAGATGGCATAGAGCCTGGACGAGTAGGTGGGTGGGTGGGAGTGGCCGCAGGTCACCACTAACGGTTCGCCCGAACTGGTCCAAGTCAGCTGAATACCACCACTGATACTATGGAAACTGAAGTAAGTGGGAAACACCTTTTGCACATATTTGGTCTTTGGTCCATTGAGTCTAGCATCATCAGCTTTGATTGGCTATGTCTATCCAGGAACATAGAGGAGGATTTTTCTGATATCTATCAGACTAGAGCTGGAAGGGACCTTGGAGGTCTTCTAGCCCAACCCCCTGTTCAAGTAGGAGACCCTGTACAACTTGAGAGAAGGAGATAGCTGACCATTTCATAATCTCATTGTCAGTGTTCCAAATATCATGCAGAATTAAATCAGAGTCGAAGGCAAAACTATGCTTAAAGTTCCAATTTAATAA